AGTATTTTAAAATAATAATAAAAACTTTATGTGTGCACTATTATGCCATCTAATAAATATATTCATCTAAATTAATTACAGCATTTTACTGAACATCACCTTTGTATTAACATAACTGACTTTGTATTCTGCATTTTTCTAAAATACTATATTAAATATCTGAAATAGAAATTTATTATTGTTATTATTATTATTATACAGCCATTGCAAAAATCGATAAAGTATCTTAAGATAATCTTTCATACACAAAAAGAAAATAGGTATAAGATATTTACCGTGTAGAATATAATCACCGGAAGATGTGTCAGGGACTTACGATGTTGCTAAATATGTTAAATGTGACCCGCAATAAGCAATGCATAGCGAAAATGAAATTGCGAATGTGATTCTTGCTGGAAAGAATATTTTCATCTACACATAAAGGGATCCATTTGATTGTATACGACAACTGCAAATAATAATATAAAGTATTTAAAAAGCGTACAAAAGTGCAATTGCAATGAAATCCATATAAAATCATTAATAATACAATTCAATTAAAATGTATGCAGTTTGAATAAAAATATCTATTGTTCTCTGATACAGTCATAATCATAATTTTAACAATAATTAACTTTACGTAATTAAATAATTGTTCAGACGTTAATAAAAAGAGAATATAATTCACTGTATATAGAATCAGGGTAGTGCAAACAGATTGTAACAATTCTACCTTATCGAGTGTAAACTTCATATATCATTTCAAATCATCGCAATACCGATGATATAACAATTTTTCTCAGGATAAATCATAATTATATTGACAATTTTGCTACTGTTGAATGGAAGAACAAGTGGTTCTAATTGCAATAATAGTAATTCCTTCAAAAGAATTGCAGTGTAATATTTTAGCAACGGGTTCGATCTGGATGCTTTCTTTCGATGATTTCTATAAGTCAACAGATTTTTCGCTCAAAAAATTCATGAAATAACTGCGCATGATCGTGAAAAACAAATATAAGATATATAAATTTCCTACACGTCTAACTTAAAAAATGCAGTTCCGTGCAACACAAAAATATCGCATCAAAATCTCGAAATTATTAATTTTCAAAGAAAAATTTCATCATTTGAATTACTGGTGAAGTTTATTAGCAACAGAAAACATTTCCACTTACAATGAGTAAATTATAATTACAATAGTATCACACAGGTAATCAACGTATAAGTAATTAAAACAGTACTTACATTATAGTTCATACTAATCTTTTCTCTAATGCTATAAAAAGCATACCTTGTAAGAATATACACTGCTGAAAGCTTCGTATTACAAACGATCTATTGCATAACAACATGCACCAGAGTCTTGATTATCAAATACGTGATTTTTGAAACATTAAATAATTTTATTGCAATATATTATATTATTACGTCAGAAAACAAAGAACTATGGAAAATAATTGATAATTTTTATTCTTTTACCATTTTATTTTCGTATATGAAACGTACATAGAATTAAATGGAATTTTTATTTGTATATTTTTATTAATTGAAATAAAATAGCTTTGTTTCTGAATTAATGTGTAATTTTCGGATAGGTTAATTTAAAAAAATGTGATTTATATTACATCAGAAAGTGTTAAATAATTTTAGTGAAAAATATTTAAGTAAAACTTAATTATACCAAATGGAAAAAGTGGATTTATTCAATTCAATGAAAGCTATATGTCCTCTTAGAAGTCTCATGGTGAAACGTTATTGCACTTTAAATGTTTAGATTTCCTATTCCATTTTATAAAAATAAAGCATGCTGTGGATATCGACCATGATTTCGGATAAAATATTTTATAACCCATTACTTAACCTACTCTAGATGATTTATATCAAATATAAATATTCATATTTCAAATAATAATACCCACTTCCCGATTTTATTATTTCTCTTAAATTTTATAAATTCAATTAATTTCTTCTACTTCTTTAAGAATTGTATAATTAACATACAATTTATCATTTTTCATTCATTTTAATTCCCACTCTAATACATATAAATATTTTGCATCGTTCTGAAGACTTCTTATTAATTTTTTTTTACTTTAATCGTCTTTTTTTATTTTTACCAATACTTTTATGATAGGTTCCTTATACAACGGTATTCATGTATAGTAAAATGTATAATAAAAAAGATAGCATCTTTTCGCATCTAAATCAGGAAAGGACAGATTTATTCGATGTAGATAATGGAACAATCAAACAATTATTTTTATTATAATAAAGCAAAAAACAATCATCAATCAGTCAATTTTCTTTTGTATTGTAGATCAGATAATTCGAAGATTTCGGTCTGAAAATAAGAGGGATGTATTGTCCTTCGTCGTAGAAGGATATCTTCCACTTTCCTTTCCGCGTACCATTCGCGATCGACTTATTATACGAGCTTCCATGACATTTCATGACGTTCAGTGTGTCACAGGAAAAGGGATATTATCCACTTAGAGTGTTCCAAACCACCACTTTACGCTCCATTTGAACATAAAGCTCTTCGTGCCGCCCACGGCCTTCCCTATTTAACATGTAGCCTTGTGTTATTCGTCAAAACAACTGTACTTTTTGTGATCATTAAATAAAGACTCCCTTACTTACTTTGTATTGTCTCCAAAAAGTTAAAATCTTTGTTATTTTTCTGCCGTGTAAGAAACAGAAATGCAATCGTTGGAGACAGCATGCGGAGACAGATTCATGCATGGATGATCCTGAAAGCTAAGACTGACTATGATCCTCCTTAAAATCAAGTTACCCCGAATATGATGAAAATGAATTGGATTGATATTAGAGAAAATGATATTTTTCTGCTATATCGTTCCTCTTCAAGTGAAGTTATAGAACTTCAGTATGTGTTTGCATTTTGTCCTTTAGATAAGTCTCCAATGTTATGTGTACTTTTCTTTCAGAAAATCGAACGTACTTTATTTCTCAGAATTGAAACCTTTTGACATTAGTGATGAATATATATATACATTTTTCCATTTTTTAAGAAGGAAGTATGACATATTTATTATGAAATTATATTTTTTCATAGATTTAATGCATCCTTAGGAAAGTTAATGGTTAGTACAGTTACATAAATGAAAGAACAGTAATGTTGATTTATACAATTTTAGTAAACAATAAAAGATTAATATATAATTTAATTTTCTATGAAAAAAATCTGTATTGCTTCTAAAAATCCCGGTCCACAAAGAGTTTAATAAAATTGAGTTCCCATTTCTCCACCTAAATTCTTAAATTGTTAAGAACATACATATTACTAATCAACAAATTTTTAATTATAGATTTTATTACGTCAATCGTAATAATACATTTTATTATTATAATAAATTAAAATAATCAATTGTCAACTTTTCAAATGTTGAACTCTCTTTTAATTGTTAATGTTGCTGTAATTCATAGTTCTCTTTTCATATGTTCATCAATTTACTGGTTCTTTTGATTTATTGGAAGTGAAACCAAACAAAATTCTATTTTACAATTAAAATTGTAATATTTGTGTCAATGCCGCTAATTTAAATATTTGTATAATATCAGTTAATAAAAGACTAATAACATTCATAACTTTTTTTAAAATCCTAATTACTTATTAAAAAGACGTTAGAAAATACTACTTTGACTATAGTTTTATAAGAAACCGAAAAGAAAGTATAATATGAATTACTTATAATAAAAACCATCAAAAAGATATAGATATTGAAACCATGTCACATGCAGAGAATTTTGGTAATTTCCGGTATCCGAAAAATATTTAGTTCTCATTTACATCCATCATATAAAAAGACAAAGAAATATATAATGAAATTTTTTATTTGGAACCCATTTTGCGAAAAAAATCTGGTTCTAATCAAGCATACCTGTACTGGGCTGTTTCTTTGTAATCGAGGCACAAATTAAAAAATTTTATTTCATATTTTCAATTTATTTTAGTATAGTTCAACAGTTTATTATAGTTCAACCACTAACTACAAAAAACCGTGTATCGATGTACGAAAAATGATTAAAAACTAGGGGTACTGCCATAAGAGTTTTTACTACTTTTACATTTTACTTAAAAAATATTCATTCGAAATATATATAATAATTTTATAATTTTTGTGAAGAAATTTAATTTGAATAGATATTAGTCTATTTCTGTCTTGAAAGAACATAAGAAAGTTCGTGAAGATCTTCTATAGATATATAAGAGCAAATGATCATAGAAAACAATAATTATATCATAGGTATAAATTGTAAATATTAAGTAAGCACTCTAACGTACAGAGAATAAAGTGATAACCGATATATGCATTTAAAGATCTGAAAAAGTTACTTTAATAAAATAGTTTTATGAAATGTACTTTCTAATTCGTACCAGAGAAATTGAGAAAGTAGAGAATTCTGATTAGAAAATGAAAAAGACACACGATTTAAATTCACAAAGATACTTCACAAAGATAAACTCTCTCCCAAATAAAATAGAAACAGAAAACCAATTAAATAGATACATTACAGACCCAAGAAACTTGAAAACAAATAAACACGCAGCAGGTGTACGAATGATAGTAGCTAAACAAGCACCTTCAATGGAAAGCTGAATGTAATAAGTAATTCTTCCTACTATACAACGCTTCCCATCATCTCTTTCTACAAAGTAAACGTGTATCTCATAATAAGTGATTATCCACGTCAAACTAAAAGTATACATGAATTAGGAAACTCATAAAACTGATACCCACTACAAGATGTAATGAAAGAGGCAAATAAAAAAGTAGATAAGAAAAGCATTACCCCCTAGCAACCCCTCGTGTCGTAACGCCATAAACAGAATACATGGTGAACGAGACAAACAAATCCCACGAACGAAATAAAAGAAGAAGTATGTGGCACAGAAATGCCGCGATAACCAATCCGGAGCAACAGCATCCCTCCTTCTGCTCATCAAAAATATTGATTCTGGCTAGGCGGCGGGTACCAAGGGAATGCCCGTCAATCGCCGCAGCGGTCACCAGAAACGCGAAACCCGACGGGCCATCTAAAACTCTTCTTCCGATCGTGCTAAACCGTTCGAAGCTCGGCTAATTTGTTGGCAAATCTGTTTTTCCGTTGATCTCGCCTCCTCTTATCTAATTGCCGCGCGCAATCACGTACCCGTGGTTCTCTCGGTACCGCGAGCATCGTCGCCTTAGTTGCAGGGCTTGCGCTGCAGTCGCATCGAGCGACGGCCACCGTGAACAGTGCTTCAGCAGCTCTCGGGGCCGAATGGTTGGCTACGGCAATCCTTGATCCGGCCGCTTTCTCTCTCTTTCTCTCCCTCCGGTCTTTCGACACCCTGACCGCCACCCGGTCTCGTGCAATCTACCACGGCGACCGCGAGGAGGACCCGTCTGATCGTTGAAGGATAACCGATTTACTCGTGAAAGGATATACCGATAGCCAACATGAGGCGCACACACGTCTTCGCAGTTTGCCTCCTGCTCATTCTCGGTTTTTATGGTAAGCGTCCAGGCGTCGTGTCTAGCTCCCTTGGTTCAACGATCGGGGCGGATTTACGAGACCGCTTACTATCGATCCCCCAGTCCATTTTAGACCTAGTTTCCCGCTTCAATTGCCACCCGAGACGGCTCGATTCGTGAATAATTCCGCCGCGCGACCGTTTTTCTCCTCTTTTTCACTGGGATTTCTGCGTTCTCGTGGCGATCAGCGACGTTGCGGTACGCAACACCACCGATCGAATGTTCTCGCGTTTGATCGAACACCGGGTAAAGGGATGGGATTAATCCCTTGCCTTATAATAACGTGTCGGAATCGTGACGAAAGTTTTAAATTGAATTCGACAAATCTAAATATCATTTATATTGTTTTAACGAAAATGTAATATTACTTGTCTATCAAGAATCTTTCTTTTCTTTTTCTACTAAATTATTAACGGTCAATTGACAAAGATATCATGGGGCAAGGGGTCAACGCGCTTTGGAACCAATGTTGATGTTTACACGATTAAATTAGTCGAAATTATTCAGTTTTAGAAATTATACGGATTTTGGAATTTAGCATGCGGGACAAGTATATATGCATTTGCGCGGTAAAAGAATTTTTAGATGTAACTGTACGTAATTTTATATGTTTAATATCTATTTTTAAATAATGTTTTTACGATTATGAATTTTTGTAACTGACGCTACAGTATATTCTCTATGGAGTATCACATTACTTCCTGGTTCTAGAAGTGTATTGTGTTTAGAGATAGTATTGCTGCGATCGATTCAATGGCAAGAGACAAGTGTATTATCGTGATTATTCGGTGAATCGCTTTTTAAATGTCTAAAGGAAAATGTATTCAGTCATGAAGATGGAAATTTACTTGACGCATTGCCTGAACGCATTGGTGCAAACGCCAGTGAGATCAATGAAAACGCACTATGCGCAAAACAGCGTTTTTATAATAGACCTCTGCATATTTGTTTTACTTCGACACTGATGCATAAAATAATGATGAAAAATATTTTCTTTCCTTTTATTTTTTTTTAAACGACTCAATTATTTTCATAATTATTTCTCAATTTTTAATATTCGTATACTATCTTCGTGGAATTGATCATAATATACGAAAAATGATCACAATATTAACGATGCAGAATGTAGTTTTCACTATTTTTTAGTTAGAAAACAAATCGGCTTCTTTGTTCCCCTAGTGTGTATTTAACACTAAAACTACCAAGCAGTTGAATTGACTTTTTGAAATTTCTCTATCGAAACTTCAAATTCAGTTTGCGTATTACTGAATCAATTTTTTCAATAATTTCTCAGAGAAACATCTGTTATATTTTTAATAATTGCAAAAGGAAGAAATCAGGACCTGTCTGGTAGTTTTAGTGTTACGACTATGAATGATAGCATAAATTCAAGTATAAGGTGCAGATAGGAGAGTAAAGTTATTGTTGTTGCGTCTTTCTGGAACGGATAGCTGGATCGATTTTTATATCGCATACAGTCACAAGGACAATGAACCTCCCTTCGATCGGAGCTCCGCGTTTCACACAATGTTTTCGTAATCTCGAAAGTCAAGTGGGAGAACTGATTATTGAATAACTTGCAACATTGTGTAAGAAAATATGTTTGACGTTTAGTACGTTGTGATTTTGAATTGTGTGGTGTGGTGACCTACATAAATGCATATACGTTTATTTAACATTTAACCCCCTCAATCCCAACGTCGACTATAGACGACTATAGTTGATGGCTGTCGACTACTATACCGAAGAGGTTAAACTATGCATACAGCACACTGAATCCCTTGACAGAAATCGTTTGCTGGTCACATTATCTTCGTTGACCCCTCTTATCAATTGCCCGATAATGGTCGGAACCTTGCGCCTCGTATTATTACGAAATTGAAACTACGTTTTGTATACAACTAGATGATGAGTACTAGTTTCCGGATGTTTATGCATTTATGACATCTTTGTTTATAATAAAATAGTTGGTACATCATACCAAATATAAGTTAATTCATTCAATGCAACGAAATTTATACTTCACTTTCGATATGAAATGTTTCTATAAATTAATCGATACAGAAATATATTTGTATAAAAGATCACGACATAAATAGTACGTTGAAACATTTATTCACCCTTTAAGCGTACTTTTTTTCTAATATCAAACGACATCATTGCGGGAAATACAATGTTTCCCAAATACACTTGTTACCTTAGAAATAAGCTTGTTACACGTCGAATGATTTTTTGAAAGTGACTGTAATACTTCAGGTATAAACGCCATGCAGTGTTACTTGTGTAACAGTCACAATGACAGCCGATGTGCCGACGAGAATCCTCCGGATGCCCTTAAAGCAGATTGCTCAGATCTCAAGGACGGCGCAAAATACACGATGTGCCGAAAGATTACGCAAGTCATCGAGTTTAGCGTTAATGGACGTAAGTAATACGCAATTTATTTCATTGTTGTAATATTAGAGCTGTTACGATTATCTTTTATGTAACGGTGTTCATACGTGTTCATCACATTTTATTATAATAATATTTGCTTTCTTCTGCAACTGAGAAACGCTCAACACATTAAGCGCCATGTCAGTCACTGATGACCAACGCTTCTCAATTACTTAAAAACAATCGTAACATGCAAGGTAACCGATGTCCTATGAAAATGTTTAATAACGTAACTAAGTTGATAACAGTGTAACGCAATGATAGTTCAACGCCAAATAATTGATAATTGTTATGAATTAAAAAAGTATAACTCTACGGAAAAACGGTCAAGATTTTCGTGGCGCTTAACGTATTAAAGATCGCGAGATTAAGAAAAGAACAAAATTTTTGCAATAACTTATATTACTATTCCATGATCAGAAAGTAAGAAGTATCAATGAATTCAATGAAAATTCAAATTTTTCTCCAATTCTTATTTAAAATAATCTAGTCACAATGTGCTTTAGACGTATCTGTATTAACCCAGATTAATACAACTCCCTCATTATTCTATAGAAAGCTACTATACACTACCAAGCACGCTACAACAGCGTGATTAATACAATGCGTGTTAAGCTACAGTTGCCTGATTTATCTAGTACAATATAACCATTAGTGTAGTTTATCTCGCTATAGAAATGTTGGATTGAACATAATTTATGGCACAACTGAAAAGGAAATGATCCTCATGCATTTAAATAAACAATAAAACAGCAGCTTGTAATTTGCCACTGTAAAAGAAAGAATGTAAAATAATGGGTGACATATTTTCCTACACTTGGTGGCTAGTTAGAAATTTCACATACTCACAATTTTATTAGTAAAATCACACTGAATAATTGTAACGTATTACACGCATAGTTTTTTAAATACCTTCCTCTTTTAAGAGCAGCAGATTTTTATTGCATTAATTGTCGATATGTATTCTTTACTGTTTACCAATATTTACATTATTTTTTATTTCATTACTTCGAATAATGACGTTTAAAATATTGTTACAATTAGATATATAATAACAGAAATAAAAGTTAGATAGATAACAAAACTGATATAATAATGAAATGATTAATAATAATGTACAGTTGAAAGGACAAATTTGAGTCAAAGTAATTAGAGTTTGAAAAATTTAGCAAAGAGATATAAAATGCGCACAAACGCATCAATAATTTTTAAATCAAAAAGTGAAGTGTAATATCCAGAAATGTTTAACTTTTAATTATTTACTAACAAAAAACAAGTCTCCTCTTGTTATACTATAAATTAAATCTCAATCTACACATGTAGATTTGTACACTCAATAGTAAGATTATCTAACAATAACATTAATGTACATCAAAATAAATCATATAATATAAGTGATATTATAAAACGTAAAATATTTGAAAATACATTTCGATACCAGTAAAAACAATGTGTCAAAACTTGTTTTAATCACGTGACATGCTTATTTTCACAATATTAAACAGTTCTTTTAAAAACTTCTTTATTAAGCATACATACACATACAAAACACACTTCAATTTTCATACAGTAAAAGAAATGCAATACAAAATTCACTTTGACTTTAATCATATTAATAAAAAATGTTTTAACAAAATTGTTTCCAAGAAAGAAGAAGTAACAAACATTACTACGTGGCATTGCAAATAAAATTAAACATAAAGTCATATTCGAGTATAGGTTGGCGTTTATTTCGGGAAAGAGTACAACTCAGTACAAAGATACAACTCTCTGTTACATTGTACACGCTACATAGAATTGTAATATTCTGCAAATTCGAAAACTTAATATCTAACAAATCCGAATGAAAATTGTTCTACGTGTTGTTATACGCTTCTTCTTAAAGTTTCAATTGTTTTTATTATCTTGACATTACCAATCTAAGTGCAGTACGTATTATTAGTCATCGACGAAACATAATCTGCAGGAGATCCATGATTTCTTTGGCTATATGTAATGTAACACCATCTTGTTGAAAGCACGTATCTGTCAGATCTCGTTGTTTCAATTTAATGGTTGCGCCATTGCAATGCAAAATACCGTAAAATGTAACAACTACTACAAATTTATTAATTATTAATTAAATCACTGTAATCTATATTGCTTAATTTGCAAAATAATCTAGAAAAAATTAGCGAGTTGATTACTATATTAATAACTGCTGTTATGTATACTTAATTTCAATAGTCAGTGATTATCACGTAAACATAAATCGGCTGAGACAATATTTGTTGACAGCGTAGTAATACTGTATTTCTTCATGCGGAGCTATATACTATTACACATGTAATGGTCAAAACGTGAACATTATATTGTTGCTCCTGTCGCACCCAGTAGAAATCTTGCCCGACCATTTCCGATCAATCTGTTGCACAACAAAGTCTTCAAAAACGTCTTTATTCGAAGTTTTACAAGCGAGTTAAAATATTAGTATTTCATAAAATAACATTACATGAATATTCATCTGTAATATTTGTTTAAAAATGTATTGACTGGACAAAAATGAAGCAGTTTGTAAAAGTAAAACCTCTACTATGTTCAATTTAGTCTTAAAAAATAGAGAAGATTTTCATGAATATTTAAATGTTCACTATTATTAAACTATACAATTCTGAATGGTTGTAATTGGTTATATCATCTTGAAAGTTGATTGTAAGTAAAAGTTCTAAATATTGTAAAATATGATAAAAATCTTGCAAATTTATATGCAACTGTATTTGTTGTTTGATGGTATTGCATGAGCTATTTAAACGCACTCACACATTTGACAGTAAAATTGCTCAATGTAAAGAGAAATCAGGAAAATTTCTTTATAATTCCGTGATTAATAGTGAGCAGTACATGAAACAATCAAATATCTGCAGTGGTTGCCTATCGTATAATATAACTTTCTTCAGAAAATGCACTTTCTTTAAAAATATCTAAATCCATGTTACATAGAATGCTATAAGAAGTTTTCACCAAAAAGTAAAAATAATACGTATAAATTATACATATCGGCTCTTTTCTAAACCGTCTGATTTTAAACGTCATTTAACACTAGATTCACGGACGTTTATTTTACACTTTATTCTACTAGTTCTAGAAAACTACACGTTCGTCTATATAGATTGAGAGAATTGTAACTTCAAAGCTAGAGGATTACAATATGTATTCGCACAATTGCACGAATCAAAGTCGACGTAAACTGCTACTAAATAACATTTTAAAAAATTCAGTACCCATCAAATTGACGAGTTCCGTAAATCTAGTGTTAAAATCATCAAAAATCACAAAATTTACCACTTACACAGGCTATAAATTCAAGAAACTTTCCTCTCTATTTTAAAACTAAATTGTAGTTCATAATTCTTTTTAGTTTCTTTGAACGATAGAGCAATTCTTCTCACGAATCAGTATTTCGAGCAAAAAATTGTATAAAAATCACTCGGTAGATACTACAGGTCAAAGGAAAGGGTTTAACTTGTTAAACGATGTAGTCGTAACAGGTGGTTACATAAATAACAACGATTACACGTGCTTGAAACAGTTCCAGCTAACACTCGTGTGATAAGGGGCTGCGGATGGGTCGAGTCGGACTACAATGGAAGGTGCTACCAACGCAGCGGTTTTGGAGGTCGCCAGGAAGTTTGTTCATGCTTGACGGATTATTGTAACACAGCGACACCAAACGTTCTGCCGCCGAAATCATTAATCCTGTCTTGTGTTCTGGGCACCGTATTGCTAGCATTCATCCGTAATTAGATCCAAAAGAAATTTTCTATGTTCCTGAACAATCAACGGGGAGACACGTTCGAGATCGTTAGTACATCTTCAAAACAGCTTCGAACCTTGCATACTCGAGAAACCGATGGGAACGAGCTAACGTCAACGGATCCGAGAGGCTGCACTTCTGACCTCTAGCGGTGCAGATAAGAGAAGAGTGTGTACAACAAAGGACGAAGAAGCCACTTTTCAAGTGGAAAGTATCCGCATCTAAACTGTAGAATTTTCCATTACGTTCTGACAATCGGACGCTAGCGATCTCGACTTAATCGAGGGAACGGAGGATCCCCAAACGAAACTACGTTTTATTTGAAATGATCTAGGGCCGGCGCTGATGGCTCCCTCCTGTCCGTTGGTTAATGGTTACCGTAGCTTTAGATAAACTATGCACGCTGTTCCTGGTCACCTTGTCCATTTTGTCAACGAAGTGCATCAAGTAAGCGCGATAACGAAAAAATTACATTATCGTTCACATATACAGTATTTTAATCGTTAGGGGAACAACTGAACTCTCGATCTAGGATCATTAAATCCAGTAAAAGTATAGAGGAATGATAAAACGTTACGTGTGAAACGAAAAACGGGACACAAAAACTTATTGTTAACGAAAGAAAATATTTCCGCAGGAATATATTATATATCATCGTCACTCGTTCATTACGCATTGTCGTTTATTTCACGTTTCTAAATAAAAAAAATACGTGCGTTTCTCGAATAATCGATGGTAAGTTAATTTATCGAAGGTTTACTGTTTTTTACCAACGAAATACGTAGGGGTACAGGAACAGTTAGATTTTTTCGTACTTTTTGCAAAACCAGCCGAATGATATTTTCTCGGTCACGTGTAACTCTTTTCGAAAATTTTCAACGTAGGTGCTGAAAGTGTGGCATCGGTCACATTGTGTTCATTCGACGATTTTTCTGCGTAGAGCTTAAGAATAATAATACGTACGCAACAATTGCGCAACTTGTTAAGGATCTTGTTGTATCTGTATTCACGAAAAGAACATCTGTACAATGTGTTTTTTGTGTGAAACAAAGAAAATATATCAAAGTTGCCGTTGCGAAGAATTCGAGCCTTTATTATTTTCCCTCAATTTATCAAACCGGAAAATATGAATTAAAGTGCTGGCTTAAAGTATAACATAAATTTGAACGATCTTGTACAGTTTTATGTATCGGTATGTTGACAAAATACAATTGCGCCTTTTTCTTAAATAGAACTCCATAATTTTGTATACATTAACACTAGAACAATCGAGCGTTTAACATAATTAACATGTAATCCTTATAAAAATTGTAACAATATATTTTTTCGGTTTCTTCATATATTAATTATAGCATCGAAGTAAAAGTATTTATTTTTCAAATCATTTTGGATATTTAACACTTTTAAAATATCAATAATTGCAAAATGAAAAAAAACTGAACGTGTCAGTTTTAGAGGTGTAGTTGTCTAGTGTTAATCGATGAACCGAGTCAAACCTAATATCCAAGGTTGATACCATAAAATTCAAATACTATTAATACGTTGACTGCCACGGTGGTCACCGGTGATCGGAGCTTAAAAATTGCTTAAACACAATTATAATAAGAAAACTGATGTCAAATAAAAATACTTACAATTAGTAACACAGATAACTAGTCTAACACGTGTATTATGATACCAAGTCATTAATAATTATTTCTAATAACATTTGTCTTTGTTATAAAAAATATGTATTGTTACACAAAACGTTCGGAATTCTCGTGGCAGTCAACGTGTTCATAAGATATAAAAATTCTTTATATTCTTGCAAATTTCGAAAATGTACTTATAAATACGTCGAGATTAAAATGATTCTAAACTTTTACAAATAGTAATAAAATGAAGAAAGTCTCGACGTATCGGCAATAATAAATATAAACAAGAAGAAAATAGTACTTCTGTGTAAGACGGATGTCGTTAATTACACTATCCAACAAATTTGAACCTTTTTTATATTTTGCAATAGCCACTGGGTAATCCTTATAAATTGTCCTAAATATGAAGCCGAAAACCAAATCGCTGGATCACCCTCAATTTTCGGAAAACGCGAGTTTTTGTAAAAACGATCGATTTTTTTAAAGAAACAAGTATTACGTGAAAACTAAATACGATAGGCAGTTCAAATTTGTTTATCACTTTGATCATCATTTACAAGCACTTAATGTTATCAAATATTCAAACTTGTATAGTCATACGTTCAGGCAGTTCTCCTCTATTTTTTCCCACTTTGAACTACCTCTCGTTTTTAGTTTTCACGTAATACTTATTTCTTTAAAAAAATTGACTTTTTTTACAAAAATCCATTTTTCTCGAAAACTGAGGATGATCCAGCAATTTGGTTTTTGGATTCGTATTTAGCGCAAGCTATAAGAATTATCCAGTGGCTATTACAAAACAAAAATCGTGTTGGACAGTGTTACTAGTTTAGAATTAAATTATAAATTTGGTTACAATTAAATTCGTTCAATGAGTAAAGGAAAATAATATTAAGGGAACGAAGAATTTTTGATAAAGTGCTCATATAGATTCGAATCTATTTGCGAATATTTGTTTTACTTCCCTAAGTACTCATACAGGGTTCATATCTAATCCATTAATGTTCAAACCTCTTTGCGATATACTTGAGCCCATCACTAGTCGAATCCACTTGAACCGTGCGTCAAATTTTTCTCTCGTTTCATTGTTCCATGGAAATAATTTTGTTTCATATCCATAGTCAGTAATCTGCCATTTTTCTTCACGGTGTTCGTTGAATTCTTCCGTTTTGTAGATTACCATTGTATTTCTGATATGTACATATGTTCTGTTGTTCTACGTTCGTAAGGAATCGGAATCAATTTGCTATGAAAAACAGCACGCGATAAATACGGTAACATGTATATTTAATCAATTCAACGGAGCAGAGCGAAGTAACTTGGAAAAACTCGTGGATTAACATCACGTTTGTTACTCTAGTCGGACATTTACACGTTAACAGTTTAATCCGTATCTTGTTCTCGTTTGCCCACTTGTATTTTCGTATGCAAGTTTGAAATGAGTTTGCCTCGTTTCCCGTGGCCGCAAACTCATCCTGCCCCATGTCGTTTTTTCGTCATTTACATTACCACTTACATCTGAATACGACTAGCTTGTTCAGGAAATTTAAAAAGATACTTTGGACATCAGGTAAAATACAAAATGTTTATCATGATAAATGAATCAATTAAATTGAACAAACATCCTTAGGTTAGAAACGTGTCAAATAGCAGCTGATATAGTGACTACGTTCGGTCCATTAGTTTGGACTTTAAGAATTCTTAACCGTACATAATATTATTTATAGTTTCGATGTTCTCATTGAAACAAATCTTTAAAACAATTTTTTAAATCTTTAACACAATAGTCAGAAATAATTTTGTTTGAGGGATGTGCCTTTTAAAACAATAATTATGTAAAAGTTTGTTAACACAAAGAAAGTGGTAAAACGATAGCGTGACAAAGTAAAATTCTTTTTGATAAAAGAAAGGTAATATTTTAATATAACAAAAACTTTATCGTTTCCCCATGATTCTACGCTTATACAAGAAAGAAAGACAAGAAAATACATAATAGAGATATATACAACTTTCGAACTTGATTCAAAATATCTAGATAACAGTAATATTGTTGTATAACAAAATCAAACCATTTAAAATATTTTATTGCATATTTTTATATATAATCTCAATCACACAAGTGTTCTTCTACCCGTTTTATCTCCTGTAATCATGTACTAAACACGTTAATCTGTTAACTGTGGAATTTAATTTAAAAAACCTGTGGTAAAACTTGCAATGAAATCAAATAATGAAGCGTGTACTCGTCAAACGCAGGCCAAATGCACTTATAATATATATATTTTAATGAAAAACCAAAGCACAACGAAGAAGAGTTATATGTTTATCTGAAAAAATAAATAATTGATCGTCGAAAGAATTAGTATCATTTTGATTTTAAAATGACGTGTATACTCGTCGAATGCAGTTAACTGATTAAAGTTTCCAATGACAAACTAAAAATTAAAATTACTAATTGAATATTTACCTTAAGAAAATGGTATTACGATTTTTACTGAAAAGATATTGAGTGATTTAAATGTTTAAACAGACTATTAACTGGCCAGAAGAAGATTTTTGAGTCGGGGGTAGGTGGATCATGCACCCTACAGCTGCACGATCTAATCGAACACATTTACAATCCTCGATTCCGTCCACGTCTACACCTTCATCCATTCCGCATCCACAACAGCAACAAATTCTTTATGGACCTATTATTAATCCAATGTTAACTCTTCAACCATGCGGGACTGGTTTGCATCCATCGTGTGTTTATCCTGGAACGCAACGTAATGTTGGTCTACCTAATCCTGTTCCTTTGCATGTACAAGGTGTAAATCCATATTTCAAAAAAATTCAATTAATTTCGTGATCCTTTTAAAAAATGTAGCTACAATTAGAGATTAAGTTTAGCGCATAATAGCCTGTTATTAATTGAAAACAATCAAACAGAAACAAAGTATTGTCGATGTTCCTTGAAAATACAAAATTTTATTTTAATTTATAATTTAATACTTTTAAACGACCTGGAACAAGTTAAAATGTCTACATTACTATCAACGCCTGTTTTTCTTATTAATTAATTAATTCAGATTAATTCAAAAGTATAATCTCATAAGAATATGTATAAACTATTTCAACAAATAATTTCTTGTCAGTCAATCGAAATTTAAAATCTTCAAAGATTAGAAATATGATTATTACAAAACTTTTCAAATAACTGATACCAATCCCTGTATACATACGTTAAACGTGATTTATTTGTTACAATTTCTTATTTAAATACATATAAATAAATAAAACAAAAAGAAACAAAAATAATATTCATTGATAAGTGAAACATACAGATTCACAAACAAAAAATACTAATCGGATTAAAAGCCATCTATCCCGAATAATTATAAAATGACACACTTTTTTCTTGAACAATGTTTTCAGTTTTCTAAAATTCTCGTACAAACCACTCCATGAATATAGGCAAAAGCAGCAGGTGGCTACCCAAGAATAAACTCGTACGAAATCAACAATTCTGTCAACAACAACAGCAACAACAGCAACACATTCAGCAACAGTTGTCCTATAACCCAAAGCCCCTGGTTGTATTCGATCAAACAGCGAATAATGCTCCACTACCGGCACCGACTACATCGTTCCTAGTTGCCACCTCAACTTACACTCAAGGCTCGTACTCTGGAGACCAGTACAATAATTCCGGACTCGCCTTGCTACCGCAACCATATTATAAACCCCCAGATGTGCAGGCCTACTGTTTGGTACAAGACAAACAAACTGCTCAGCAGCAGCCACAAGAACAACCGTCGCATGGTTCTTACTACAATATCTCAGCTACAAACACTTATAACCTGCAAACAGTAAACACGCATTCGACGTTCCAGTTTTCCAATCTCAACCCATACGCGCCAACAAATTTCAACAATCAAATCTCCAGGCCGATTCAGACAGTGCAATCCGCGCAAATCTTCCCTAACCACTCAGTGAACGTAGTCGTCGGGGATCAACAAAGAGACAAATCCGTGACAAGCTCCACCACGCTCGACGCTTCAGCCCTTAAATACGTGAAAAGCAGGGTCTCCACAGGCAACGCCGGAAAGGTCTGCTGTATCGCACCCATCGTGTCCGACAGCTACAACGATTGGCCATTTCAAACGATCGCCTCCTCGGCCAACAGTTTGTTCGACACGAAACCGACCATCGATGACACAAGCCAAGAAACCATCGCGAACTCTCTTGAGAAAATTGCCTCGAATATTTCCACAGAAACAAAAGAGGAACACTGTTCCGACGAGTCGTCGGCTAGCTTCGATTTCACTATCGAAGCCGAAAAAATGGTGTCGGCGCTGTGCAACACGTCTTCGAATGACCTGGGTAAAGAGGAATCGAAAAGCAATAAATCGAATTCGACGCCTCTGTTCAGCGGCGCTGGTGACACCATTTCAAACAAGAATGCTTGGTTCGCTGACTTCTGTGGCAATTATGGAACCGGCACGTCGGTAGCGATTCAAACTGACGGCCCGTGTGTTGACGGGGTACAGTATCCAGAACTGTTGAGGAAGGTTGTTTACTGGGGTTGTTCAGAAGCCGAAACTATCTTAAGTACGAGCTGCAAAATGAATCCCAAGTCGGGATGGTTGAAGAATCTCTCTGCCGCCACGAAGACGGCGGTCACTAAATCGTCGACGTGTTTTCCAGTATTCGCCGGTAATCATATCTTCGTCGGTGATCTGATCAACGCTCTGTTGCGCATTAGCAACGGTTGGCTTATCCTCGACAATTACTTGAATAAGCAACATTATCCAAGTCTAGACGAGAAGTATGACAAGGAATTAATTAAGTCCTTCCAGCTCTGGGAAAAGCACACGCACGAGCTACTCAATCAAATCGTGCAAAGTTTCTTGAAACTTGGAAAGCACAACGATACGTCCAATGTAGATCGAAAACCGAAATTATTCGGGACCTTTTTTCCAGGTGACGTTTCAGTTTATACGAACTGCGACTTGTTCGATCCGTCATTGAACATGGATGCGTTACGCCAGGAATCAGGAAAGAGAAACGGTCAAGAGAATCCGTTGAACGTGGCTCAATCGTCTGTCGGAAGCTTGCGAAATCTCGATGCCTACAAGCATGAAAAGCAGCTGCCTCAGAAGGAGTCGAAATTACGAAGTAAGTGGACTGTTATTGAGACTCTAGCAGCAATAGATAGCGCAAAATCCGTGCCCGATATGTTCCTAGGACACGCGGAAACTGGCATTTCAACGAGCGGTAGGCTTCGCTCTAGGGGAAGTACGTCTTCTGCGAAGGTCGACTCATCGGCGCAATCTTTAAACGCGGAATTCTATCATTTGAGAAGCAAAGTCCTCACGGAGAACAACCAAGACTATACCAGGCAGTGGACGTTCAAAGAAAAGAAACGAGAGTTCATGGAAAACAAGATTCCATCGCACGAGAATCCTGACACCATTTTCAAACTTCAACGAAGATCAGATGAAAATTACAACAGTTACGCTCAAAAGTGTTTATCCAGAGTGGAATCGTCCTTTCTGAATCCTTCCGTTAGCTTAGAATCAGTATATTTCACTTCTAATAACGAGTCAGAAAATTTTGATCCTAATTATACCGTCTTGCCTTCGTACACGACGGAGTATAGTGACAAGAACGCGAAGGGCTGCGATCAGAGTCAAGGTAAAAGAAGTAACGCGGATTTAATTTACGTCGGTAAGTCAACGACGAACCAAATAGAACTGGCAACTGTGCCCAAGGATAAGATGACATTACTCAGTCAGATCGAACCAAGTACCGCGGACAAATCGTCCGAAGAGATGACTGCCAATTTGTCTGCCTGGTTCGCTAGTATCAGAAATTCGGATAACAGACAGGTATCCTACGTGAAACTTGGAGAAACGAAAACGGCAAACATGACGGCTCGAGTGCCGTCTCGTCAAGAAATATCGAAGAATACGATCGATCTTGGCAACTGCATCAGACAATTACAAATTGACGCGAACCGTCAATTCCAGACGTTGCAGAATATGCAAAATATTCAGAATGCACCTTGGAACTCTTATAACTTGATTAACAACCGCACCCAAGGCTCTGAAGACTACGACAGCTCCGAAGATGGTCGAGTGTACATGAAACCAGGAAGCTACAACGTCCCGAAGAAAAGGCATCAACGCAGATCAACGCGTCGTTTAGATAACTCGATATCTCGAAGTGTAATCAATGGACGCGTTAATAACCAGCGTAATCATTTCACGAACAAAGAAAAAGTCTTTTCGACTCCAGTATCCTCGATACCAGTATCACGAGCTACCGCGACGTCTATTTCTACCAATACTTATAACTCGGTAACCTCAACAGTGAAGTTACCCTTCCCGGCGAATCCAATTGTACCGTCACCTGCATTCTCTCTCGAAAATTCACCTCGAATTCTGAAACGCTTTGACTCGTTAAATCCTAGCGTATCCCAAGATGTCACTTGGAAAGCAGCATGCGCTTCAGCTGAGATTCTACTGGAAGCGTTGAATGTTAAAGAGGATAACAATGTCGAAAAAAAAGTAACTGATGCCGGTAACCCCGTCGAGGAGCAAGAAAATGTCACTAAAAACAAGAGTATTGAATCTTTATCACAACCAACACAGTGTCAGGAGAAAGTAGATGGAAGTCATGCTAAAATGTTGAAAGATGATAACGATGGTTGCAGTGGAGCTTCGAGTTACGAAGCGTCTGAGGATGACTCCGAATCGACTTGTCATTTTTCTCCTAATGCGAGCATCAATGAAGCTTTACATGCATCTGAAAGTAAAAATGGTAACTTGCCTTAATTTCGAATGTATTTTCATAATCTTTTTCCTGCTCTTGTCAGTTATAAACTTCATCGTTAACATTTTAAACTACGTATTTTTAATGGTTTAAACATAATTATTTATTTGTTATTGCTCTTATTTTATACACTGATTTGTAAATGATATACGCTAGTGCCTAAAATTTAAGAATCAGGAAATTTTCATTAAAAAATTGCTCAAGTTCAAAGTGGTATAACTTTACGAAAAAAAGTGTAATAAACTTACATACGTAGATCACTCTAATCCTGACGGCACACTTTTTATTCCACATTGAATAAAACAGTGAACAAAATCTTATACCACGTTTTAAGGAGTCGTTACGAAGGAAAGACTATATTCTTCAAATCTCTGACGAATGTAATTCCGAACAAATTTTTTTAGTATCTGTTGACAGGTTTGAATTTACAGAATTTTCGAAATCAGAAACCATGTTTATTTTCACACCTTTTACATAATGAAAAAAACGTCGCAAGATGTTTACGCAGGGCTATTTTTTTTATAAAGTTAGACTACTTTGAATTGGATCAAGTTTTTAATGAAAATTTTCTGACCTTTTAACCTTGTACGCTAGTGTATTTTGATATTACAGATCTAATTTTAATCAGTGCAATTATGTAAATAATAATTAATAACTTTAATGCTAGAAGAACGGAAATATTTTGTACTTTTGCTATATTTTTAGTTAATTAGAAATTAAAAGTTAATAATCCGTTACTGAGTCTTCCGTCTAAGGAAAAAATACTATGAAATAGATCTGAACTCAATAATACAGCTAAAAAAACACATTCCGTTCTTCTAAAACTGATATTAAACGCAATATTTTATGGAAATGTCCATTAACAGGTTCTAGCAAAATGAACGTAAAGACGGACTCATGGTTAATCAGAACTTTGAACAACGCTAGTATAGTGAATAAACAGAAACGACGAAAAAACAGTTGTAATCCGCGTACCTCAGACTCGTCAAACAGTTCGGTAATAGAAGACGAACAACCTAATCCCGTTTTATCATTAACGGCATCAGCAACGACAGTTACAACGACCATAACGGTTAAGAATCTTCAACAAATGAGTTGCTCCAGGAAAAATGTATGCAATCTTACTAAGGATGGCCAAAAGACAACGGACGAAATTGAACGTGTCGCTGGAAAAGCCACGTATTCTGAAACCGTACGACGTTCAACGCCGATTAGTTCGTCTCAATTAGAAAAGAAAGAATTTGGCAAGAAAGGGAAATTAAATATTCCTAATTCGTCGATAATTGGCAGTACTATAACACCAATTTCCGGTCGTAGGTGTCAGAGAAATGAATCTGAAAGATCCTATTACCTTTTGCACAACAGGTCGCGAAAATGCTCTAGCAAGAAGGTTACAAAAAGTTACGAAATCGTCGAACCTCAAATGGAAGAGATAACGAGCACCAAATGCAAAAGTACGCGGATCGACACGCCGAAGGAGAACTCGTTCGAACTTCCATCCGGATTATCATTGTCGACGGTTACGACGAAGCATGCAAAGAAAAAGGAAAATGTTGGATGTATCGAATTTTTGGACGGCAAATTTGGCGGGAAAACTAGCGACCGAGGCTGGTCCGTGTGGTATAGCTCCAAGAGAAAGCAAAGTCTCAGTCCCCTAGCGCTGAGTAAGCTGGAAACGATACATCAAACGGTTTGGAAAATGCAAGAAGCGGAAATCTTCAAGTATCCGTCTCCTACAGACAGCGGTGGCAGTCAGTCCTCTGCGTACACAGTTAGACTTTTTCACATGATTATCCTGTTATAGAAATCGCAGCATTTTAATTATAAAATAATATTGTAGATCGAAGACTACTGTAAAGTCATCAAAAGCCCGCTATTCCTGGAAACAGTTGAATATAAGTTGAAGAATCGTGTTTATCATAAAGTAGAACATGCGGTTCGAGACTTCCGCCGTATCGTTTATAATTCCAAATTATATCACAAGGTTCGTAATCTTCATAATTTACTTATAATTACGAGAATATTTACTGATATATATTTTCAATTATTAAAATCTAGAATAATCATATTACTTTGCTTTTTGTGCTATATACAATGGGGTTTACTTTAAGGGATTCTTGAGAAGGAAACATACAGCGTCTCATTTATTTGTTCATAGATATTTGGCACATTTATTGAACTAAATTTTGTACAAATACTTATGACAGAAATAACAAACTGTCAAACATATAACGTAATAGTCCTTTCAAGTATCATCAAAATTTTATTTAATACAAATATATGAGGTCATTGTATGTTAATTGAAGTAGATGATGTAAAGTATAATGATTATTATTAATTTTACAAATAGTGCCAGTAAACCACAAGTTTATCATTAAATGTGATTAGTTTATCATTGATTTTGTGTTGTAGTTAAACATTTTTTAAATGTATTATCTAGTAGCCATTTGAATAAAAAATTCAATTAAAGCGCCTTCATAGTAACAAAACGACCATTTTATTGTAGAATGATCATGATCGAGTGAAAACAATCGAGACGTTATCGAAAAAATTAGAAGAATTATTCGAAGAACATTTCGCTAGTTGGGACTTTGATAATATAAGTGGTAGCCCAAGAGAAGGTTCGCCGATGTCGTATCGATTTAAGTTGACCGGGAAAAAGGCAACAACTGGACGTTACGGTAACATGAAGAAAAGCCCACCTTCTTCGATCACAGAAAACGTTTGACGTTTGAATGTTATATACTGCTAAACTTTCTACGAATTATTGTGCCTATAGTCTATAGTGACATTTTTTTACATCTCCTACAATTTATATTACTATTATATAGACATACAATGTTCGACATACCCTCAATTTATGTGGGAGTCCATCATAATAACACGTTCTAGTCATGCCTCAGTTCATAAAGTTATTATCATAAGCGTTCTACGAGTTTCCTTTTATAAAGCAACTTGCACCTTTTTCTTCGTTTACTTCTAAGAACAGCAAAAGTTTAAACGCTCAGTCTTTTGGTATATCGAAACTAAAGTATATTCGTAACAATGAAATAAATGACAAAAAAGAACAATATATTTTTTATATCATTAATATCAATCAACGAGAAATACAAATAATTGTTTAATACCATTACGATAATCGATGATTGAAACTTGAAGACATACAATTGCTATTGAAATATTTGTTAAAGCAAAAAATGCGATTTGTTCAAATATATAAGATAAAGTAATTTGTCGTCCGCGATGCAAACAATGTAAATGAGGTTTAATTAAAGCGATGAAAGGATTAAGAATGTAATATTAAATTATAATGTTAAACGGATAAAGAATTTACGAAATAAAAGGATAAAAAAATTAAAAGTCCCGCTTTACTTTCGCAAGGAAGCAAGCATGCGCAATACAAGAGTATGTAATGTAAAGTTATTGCGCATTCACCATAGAAATGTCAGTTGGCGATGCAAGTACCGTACGCGTATAGATTATAGCAATGTCAAACACCGAGGAGCAAACGGAAAGATGGCGGTCGAGCCGTAATTTTGCGATGCATGGGATATAGTTTATAAATGGGGTGTCTCGCGTTCCCAAGGGATTTATCGAAGTCATAATATTATTGTGCGATGTGACTACGCTGATTACGACTGCCTCTTGAAGCAAACCGTGTCAAGAACGAAAGAACAACGTAAGAGAGGGAGAAGAAGGGGAGAGAAAGAGAACGGACATCCACTTTATACGTAACGAGTGTTGAAGCGGTTCATTGCTCCGCTCTAACTTGTCGTCAAGATGGATTGGGACTCGATCACGATGGCGAACCTTCACTTGACGATGACCGAGCACCAGTATTACGAAGACATTTTTAGTTATTGTTGCGAAAACACTGACAGCGAGAGTGTGCCGGTGATCCGAGTCGCTGAGCTGCTACGCTGGGCAAATTTGCCAGGACTTGTCACGATGATGGTAAGTTACATCTACTTGTTATGCTTAGCCTGTCAGTTATTGGTTTTCTGTCATTCTCGTGATTCGAATATTGAGAGCATGCGATTACGATTAATTATAACAAGGTGGTCGCCTAATATGTCATAACGTGTCATGATGTCGGCAAATTATGGGACCTCGAGAAGGTTAGGTTTCAACACAGATCATAAGCGAATTATTAATTTTGCCGTTAAGTAACTTATTAAACGACCACTCCTTTATGTCTTAAGGTGAAGCGTAAATCGAGTGTGAAGTCTTTCGATCATTGTCTACTGAGACATTAGCGACGTAAATACGCGATATTAATTAACATGTATAATTGAAAAGTTGATTAGTCGTTTATTACGCTTGAAAATTATTATAGTTCTTCAGAACGAGTTATTAATTAAATCATGCGAATATTATAAAAGTATTATACAAGTATAGAGAAATAAGAACATTATTCTGTTGCAGAAGTATTTATATCATTGTTAAAAAGAAACTTGTTAATATAATACTGTTCAAATGGCAATTTTATTTGTATTTTATTTCAATTATAACTTGATTAAGGAATTTCAATTACAGTAAAAACAGTGGTTTTTTTGCAGTTTACTGTATTATGAATTAAAATAAAAATAAACATATTGAAACAAATTATTTTACTCCACATGCCCTAAATTTTGACTTAAAACATAATTTTTTAACAACGATCTAAAAACATTTGACGAATCAGTGTGTCTGATAAACTTTAGAACCCTTATGGTTTATAGATATTGGACATTTGCTTTGGAACTGAAGCAGCGTGCATCGCAACACATCTTGGAAAGAAACAATTTTATGGGCTATTAAAACTTGTGGCAGCTCATCAGTCAGGACTTACTATTCGTAAAGACTTAATTACTATGCCTTTGGATGTAATAACTCTGCCAAAATTTAGTTGGCCAACATCGGGAGATGAAGATGACAGAAGGAGTTCTGATTCAAATAGGGCTGTGAAAGGTCGACATCATGCTCCTGAAAGTACTACAGAAAGTGAAAGCGAAGCAGAATCTCCAAGGGAAACTGGTGGTAGTACAGATTCACCAACACCAACAAATAGTGTAATACAAGAAAGAAATAATGATATAGGTGGTGAAACGATATTAGACTCCGTATCTGGAGGTTGGCAAGGTATATCTGAAGAATTAAGGCAATTATTAGGAACAGAAGAAGAAAGTTCAGAACGTCATAGTAGTGATGAAGGTGATGGTGATGGTGATGGTGATTGCTCAGGATTTCCACCAGAAGTATGGATAATTACTGATGAACAACGTGACTACTACACAACCCAGTTTTCACAGCTACAATTAGATCAGGATCGACTCTTGCACGGTCATATAGCTAAAACATTTTTTCAAAAATCTGGCCTTCCTTTTCAAGAACTTAGTCACATTTGGCGGTTAGCGGATATAACCAGAGATGGGGCATTGAGTTTAGAAGAATTCCTTGTAGCTATGCATTTGGTTGTGTTACGAAGAAATCATGTGCCTCTACCTGATGTATTACCTTCACCTTTATTAAATCCATTGCGTAGGCAGAAGACTGAAAGACCGCCTATTCCATCAAATACAACTGCTCAGAAAACTCCACCTAACACAACTACTAGTACTTGTGAAAAAAACAAAGAATGGACAAAATTTGTAGATTCGCCAACTGGAAATAGTAGTTCCCTTGCTATTCCAAGTTTGCAATTAGTAAATTTTGATTTTCAAAAGTCCGATGTTGAAAAAGATCCCAAAATTTTACATCCTGTACCATTACGCTTAACACCTGAGGCAGCTATCCTTGCTTCTGGAGCAAATGGTAATAGTAATAGTTGCACTACATTAGGAGACGATGATCTCCAACATACTGCTACAGCATTGCTCCAGCGACCTTTAATAAAAAAGCCACCTGCCCCTCCTGAAGAAGGGATCATTGTAACTCCAAAGAAGGAACCGCCACCTCCACCACCACCGAGACCATATAGAACACACACGAGAAGCTCTAGTCTTGATCTTAATAAATTAGGTATATGTTGCTACCAATTCTCTACAATACTTATCATCTGTGGCTGCGAAAGCAAAGTTTTATGCTTCAAACTGTACACATTCTTGTAGGGAAAAATGGTCAAAGTTTTCTTGGAGCACCTCCATTAATACCACCTAGAATCTCACCTGGCATTGTAAGTACCTTTGTTTATTCTGAAATTATTCGATTATTAAGAACCAAATCTAAAATTATAGGTTTACACATTAATTATGTTTAATTAAGCTGCTTTTCATGGACATGCACAGTAGATACTTAATATATTGTATATGATTTTGCGGATTGTAAATATTGTAAAACAAAGCAAAATTATTACTATAAATAGAATTTTGTTATATATCTCTACTACAGACTTCACCTCGAAAGTTGGTTGGGCAAAAAAGTGAGGGAGAGGGACAAAAAACTTTAAGTGATAATCAAAATTTTGTCGCTGATTTTTCTCACTTTTCTCCAAAGAGCGAACTACCTGAAAATCCACCTTTGGAAACCATTACTCCTCAACCACAACAATTTACTGGTGTTTGTGGTGCATTCCATATTTATAGAAAACCCAGTCCCAGTAAGTTTCATGATTCTTTGTTATCAATTTTTAAAATATTCTTGTTAAATGAACAGATATCTATATCCTTTCCAGAACGAGAAGGAGGTGAAGAGGACGCTCCCAAGGACGAGGTAGAAGAATCAAAAAGATTAACGTTACAAGAATTGCGAGAAAAGAACGCAGAGTTACGATTAGTTTGTGAAGAGTTAACACGAGAATTAGCTAGCGCACTCCAGGAACGTATAAACCTTCGTGCAAAACTTTTACTTTTAACATGATGGAATATGTTACCATTTGTGAACGCTCCAACCTGTGAGATGTCGATTTTTCCCAAATTCACCGTAAACTCATGTATTTGATACATCATTCTAGTCTAGAAATTTTTCCTTTTTCAATGAAGTCTCGTGTATTCATAATCATTAGCGTAACCAAACGTTAAAATTGCGAAATGAATATCAATAGAAATATGAATTCTATGAAGAGAGTTAGCAGTTCAATCTATTTTCATCGCTGTTACTTGATGTTTAAAGAATCAGTTACACTTCGATTGTATATTTGTGTACTCTTAAACCTTTGGCGGTTGTAATACATTTAAACATTGCTATCTAATAAGTTCAAATTATTTTGAAAAAGCAATGTGTATAACTGATGAAGTACTTGAAATTACTATCTTGACTCGTATTACTATTGTTAGTTTAAAATAAAAATAAGTCGAATTTTTAGGTATTTGATTATTCTGTTTTTTTATTACTTTTTAAGAAAAATGTACACTATTGATAAATAAGGTATTTGAAACTAATGTAACCTGCATTATTACTACTCAAAATACGTGTAAATCGTATTCTTGCAAAATATTTCATATATTGATTTAATAATTTTCGCAATATAGTACTACAGGTGAATGTAACAACTGCCAGAGGGTTAATATTATAATAGTGTACAGGATAGTCTATGCAACTTAAACAAATTATAGTACTTTTCCGATTGCAATTAGAAAAAAAATATTATAAAAGGAAAATGAATCCTTCAAACGGAATATACATTTTCTGAACTATATTTTTTTGTAAGTATAATAATGCATATGCATTTAACAATTGTAGCATTTTTTACATGGAAATGTATCTCAGGAAAATATTACATGATCCATCGGTGGGTCACAAGATATGCGTTCAAATGCCTCTCTATTGGATTCTGAACATTTAGTTTATCATTTGTTTGTTTTCAAAATAGAACCGAATGGAGAGTTTGAATTGTTTTGATGGAGGCATTTATTAGTATTTATGTGTTATAAATACTCAAATATATGATAGTTTACAAGACTTTCTCGAATTTATATGCAGTGTCAATAATAACATTTGTAGTTGCTTCATCATCATCAATTGCATAATTGAATTAATGTTTAGAGTCCATGTATTTATTACTTACACTTATATTTTCGAATTTTTCATACCAATACCTTTATTTGTTAAACCTATGGCTATGACTGATTGAACTGAATTGCATTTCAAAAGAATACATCGAACGATGCTTTGTACTCTAAGATATAAATCTTTCTAAGATTTTAATCATTACATTGTGCAGAGAATTTTTCGTAAGCAGAAAACAAGCCGAAGAAATTCATTCTGAGTTGATCCGAAAGCTTATGTATCAGTATAGCGCAACAATTTTGATCGTTAACGAAAGTACATGAATTGGTATCATGTTTTAACATTAGATCTAAACGGTCAAAAGATAATCGTATCTATTTATCTTTTTTCTCTAACATTTTTTTAAATTGCAATCAGAAAAAAAGTATATTTTGTTCCAGTTTCGTAGAGTACCCTACATATTCAGTATATCTGTTTCAAATATCTAGATATGATTATTTCTGTAGATATCAGAAATGCAAAAAAATGTTTCGGATGAAAGTTTTATAATATCGAAGGAAGCATATTACAATGATAATTATTTGTCCTTTCGATATCATTGGAATCCTATAAAAGTTACGTTTAAGTTTTTAAATCGAATCTAACATTCTTATATATTTTTATATTTAATATCAAGACACTCTTTCGTAAACCTTTCTTGAGTTATTAATTGTCAAAGTTAACGTACTGACAATGCGTTCACATACCAACATATGTGCCTTTAATTTTGAAAATGGTCAATGGAAACTTATGTCAAGCATTAAAAATCATATTTTCCTATAAGTTGCACACTCCATTACACAGTCATAATAAATTCTTATCTTTCAAGATTAAATATTTTCTGAAATATTTTATTACATAGTATACAAATATTTTTTAATCCATTCAAACACGAACCTCTAAATTTATCTCGACACTAAAAATGTATGACTTAGTCCACTTTCAAAATTAATGGCACATATATGCGCACTAGATGTACATACACTCTGAATTAATCCTTTTTAGAGTCATCAGGATATACAAATTGACCGAGCAATCTCGTATTGTACATTAGGCAATGCCAAAAAATTTCCCGACATTGACTTTAGAAGTTAATAATTCAATAAAAGTTTACAAAAAGTTACAGGCGTAAGTAGTAATTTAAGTAGTCTTCAATATCACTTAGATTTTAAAAGGATGTATAATAAAAAATGTAGAGTTTCTTAAAAGTTTACTGTGATTTTCATAGTATACTCCGGCGATATCTAAAAGTCAAACAATTATCATTGTAATATGGTTCCTTCGATGTTATACACGTTTCATCTAAAATATTTTTCGTATTTCTAAAACCTAGAGAAATAATTACTTGTAGGTAAGTACTTAAAACAGACATACTGTATATATGTATATTAAGAAGATAGTTACAAATATTTATGTTGTAGCTCCATTAAGGAAGTTGAAATTTTATAATATTATTACTGAAAATTCTTAATATGGAAGTAAGATTTTTCATGGTTACGCTATTATCCATGTTTTATCCTTTCTCACCAGCAATTCCAGTGTGCATTATTAGAAGCGCAAGTACAAGTATTGTAGCAACATCTGCCACTCTTTAACATTCGAATATTACAGCATTTTAACGTTTAAATCATTTTGAGATCTTATATTTTTTATGCATAGTATTGTGCTGAATTGCTAAAATAATAGTTCTTTGTATGTATATAAGAGTCTTTTAAAAGTTGAATGTTTACATCGAGCAATGGCGAAAGCTTGTTTATTATTGTAAACTGCAAAATTATTATAGAAACATATTGTAAAAATGAGCGATAGATGTTTATTGTTTACGATGACAAAATGAAACTGTATTTTCGTAACACTGTACAATCAAATTTTTCACAGCATGGCATATAGTTGAGAATCGGTATTCCTGATAAAAGTGTTACAATGTATTTCGTTTCGTGATAGTAATTGTATATAGTCAATAGAGTTTAGAGCAAGGAATGAGAGAAAATGAAGTCTGCAGGAACAGAACATTCAGAGAATAAATATACTTTGAAAAAATGTTAATATCCTAAATCAATTTGTTGTTCTAATTTTGTTTCACTTTACATATTATTTAATGTGTCACTTTCAATTTTGAAACAAAGTATCACATCAGGATTTGCTATATTGCTTACAAAGATCATGTAAATGTTTTATTGCTACAATGTTTATGGATCTATTGTTACTCGTCAGTTCATTATAACCAGTACTGATTTAGCGTTGCATAGCCGAAGTTACTATAACAAACAATTCCTTGTGCCATACAATGATATTTTGTTATTAATATTGTAGTCACTATTGATGGCTAAAAACTAATACTATCCTGTGGTTAAAAGCTATTTAACGGTAAATGTTTCAGAAAAAATCATTTTGTAAGCGTATAGGCATTATGTAAAAGTTATATGAAATCGTTATTTACTCGTTCCCTTTATTAGTGTAATCCTGTAAAAATGTAACTATATACAGAAAAATGAATATCTGGAGAATAAACAACCTCTTAGTTTCATAACAATTTTTATTGGTGTTTATGAGTGATAAATATTAATGTTACAGAAGAAATCGCAAATATTTTGATATCCTCTTGCGAATGTTGAATGAATGATTGATAAAAATCATTTAAATGTAACATACATTATCTAAATAATACGGCACAAGAATACAATAATCTACTTTATGTATTGACTGTGTACTTTTCGAGCAAGCATACTATTTTTGAACGTACATATTTGCATCTATATTTTTACATTATTTATGAATAAATTCAGAAACGTTAATTAGAAATTTAAATTAATATAATGAACTTCAAAGTTAATCCTATTTCATACTGATTTTGTAGGTACATTGTATTACTTGTGCAAAAGAAATGTATGCTAAAGTATCGTTTTGTTTTACATTTTCAATTTCTGTTTCAAAAACGCTAGTGGCTAGTCATAACGTTATTTAATCTGCAATATTCATAAAACAACGATATGTTCGTATGATGTATGTCATACAGAAACATTTATGAATGTATTACACATGGAAATACGAAAATCGGCTTAGTTGTCCTTCGTTTGAATATACTTAATCAAATCAACTACACGATTGGAATAACCATATTCGTTGTCGTACCACGAAATCAATTTAACAAAGTTATCGTTCAACGGTATACCAGCTTTAGCATCAAAAATACTGGAGTGATTATCACCAATGAAGTCAGAAGAGACTACATCATCCTCTGTATAAGCAAGGATTCCTTTCATAGGACCTTCGGCAGCTTCCTTAACCTTAGCTTTAATAGCATCATAAGTAGCGGGTTTTGCGAGTCTGACAGTCAAATCAACGACAGACACATTGTGTACTGGTACACGGAAAGCCATACCAGTCAGCTTTCCATTTAGAGCTGGAATGACTTTGCCAACAGCTTTAGCTGCTCCAGTTGCAGCAGGAATAATGTTTTGTGCAGCACCACGACCATCTCGCCACAACTATTACACAATTAAGAAAAAAATAATTCAATAAGAATAATTATAATACTTGAAGAAGATTATAAAAGAATCTTAAATACCTTGCCCGATGGTCCATCAACAGTTTTTTGGGTAGCAGTAATAGCATGCACAGTAGTCATAAGACCTTCAATAATTTCAAAATTATCATGAATAACCTTAGCGAGAGGAGCTAAGCAATTGGTGGTGCAAGAAGCATTGGAAATGACTTTGTGACTTGGATCATAAGCATCCAAGTTAACACCAACAACAAACATAGGTGCATCGGCTGATGGAGCAGAAATGATGACCTTCTTAGCACCACCTTCCAAGTGAGCCTATGAAAATAGTGAAAAGCATATATAAGTAAATAATTTCTGGATTCGTTGACTGTATTTGCAAATGCAAAGGTTTCTACATACTGAAGCTTTATCTATGGTGGTGAAAACACCAGTTGATTCAACAACGTATTCAGCACCAGCTTTTCCCCATGGAATGGCTTTTGGTTCACGTTCACTAAATACAGCAATTTTGTTGCCATTAACCACTAAACAACCATCTTCAGATTTGACTTCTCCCTTGAATCTACCATGAGTAGAATCATATTTGAACATGTATACCATATAATCCAAGCCAATGAATGGGTCATTGATGGCAACAACCTATCACACATAAAAATGAATAATTAAAATAAATAAATATTACAAAATAAAATACATTATTTTTTAAATTGTGGATTGCATCATAAAACTGCTAAATACCTGGGCACCGCGTTCAAGGGAGGCCCTAAGAACCAGACGGCCAATACGGCCGAATCCGTTAATTCCGATTTTACTCATGTTGCTTTCTGAACTGGAAAATAAATAGGATAATTTTTTATATTTAATTCTGGAATTAGTAAATACATATTGACGTTGATGAATAATTTTTTGTGCTATTGATATGAATGGCCAATGGAAAAAAAATGAAGTTAATTTCATCGCGAATTAAGTTTCTTACAAATGAGGTTAACTTTCTTTTAAATTATTACGTATAACCATAGATATAGCGCTTATGTTTTATGTACTAATAACTGAAATTAACGTGGAAGCATTTCGTAATTTGTACGTGCATAATAATGTTGATATATTTTATTAATTAATACATATGTTCTGTCATAATGAACCATCAATTTTAGATCTGTTGCAATTAGTTAAAAAATGTTAAATGTATTGAATTTTTATTTTAATAATACACAAAAAATGAATGAAATTGAATGCAATTCAAATGTTCATGCTAGAAGGTCACTCAAGGTCAAAAAGTCCGGCAGATAGCATCTTGAACTTGTCCTTGAGAGCGAACGTGACCTTTTCATGTATATGCAACGAAGGTACTTCATCGATGAAATAATCATTGATTTAAAATAAAATATATTTAGTACTTGTCAAATTGCGGTTACATTTAAATCTGTCATACATATATGTACATACGCAATATGACGTAACAATGACTGATACAAATATCACTGATAGTAGTGTAGTATATGTATTAATATGATCGAGGATATTGAAGGTTAAAATATCTTTTATTATAATTAGCATAACATTGACACAGAAATTTATTCCTTGTAAAAAAATTAGTTAATACTTTCGATTTACAAAATCAACGAACATAGTCTAGTATAAATAACAATTCTGAGTTAAAAATAAATAAAAAAATCTAATTTCTGTATTGAGGTTTCCAACATATTAACACCAACGTACAGAGCGTTACCATATTAATCGATTATCTCAGCTATCTGAAAAGATACTATTGATTTTCAGATTTAATTTATTAATATAACAGTTTAGAAATATCATAAACATAATAATTCTATTGATTTGCAATCGATCAAGTAAAAATCTTTCCCGAGTTAACAAAATAAGGTTGAGTACAAAACAATGAATATGAGATGAAAGTTTCCGAATTCTCAGAGTGATTCCGCCTAGAAATAATTTCAGACATGGAGCCTATTTAATACTCCACGTTTTCTCGAAAGTTCTACGACAAATATTAGATTAATTTCGATGTATGAATTACTCAAAGAAGATATATATTTTCAATGACGTCATATTAGCCGGTACAAACGTAATGTACATGCACATGCTATGTAATTTCAGATATAATACCGAAATGCAGCATCGTTCCTGCTTTTGTTCTTAATGGAGACCAAATTAATAAGCAACACGGTCAGGTAAATAGATTTAGTGAACCAAAGCACGGATACAGTGAATATTTGAGTCTCAAAAGAAAACAGGTATAAGGTCAATGAAAATTAAGCCGAAAATTAATAATACTTACGTGAAAAACGACCCACACGCTGCGATTACCACAGAAATAGTGTCATTTGAAGGGCAGAAAACGGTAATATAACCGGCGTTGGTTTAGGTGTATGCGCCGTTGCTTTTTCGTTTCGTGCATCATCGGATGCGTTCGGATCATGTGACCTATAGCCTTATCGACGTGTTTATAAACCGCGAAATTCAAATTCCATATTTCAAATTGAATTATTCTATTAATGATATCATATTGCAGAAAAAATATAATTCTAGTAACTCATTTTACTTAAACAATTCAAGATCTATCAATCTAACTGACACCTCTCTTGTAACACAGTATTTAATGATATAATTATATGAAATATAATATATTCTAATTATTCTTGGGAATCGAATAGAAATATACAAAAATTGTAAAAATCAAGCTTAAATTAGTTTTCTAATGCTATCAAACTTTTACTTTCATTCCTGCATATCAATATTTCGCATTAATAGTTTCGGATTATAATATTTATAATATTGTGTTGTTGATGAATAATTGCATTCGACATGTATTTATATGCATGCACTCTGTCCAAGTAGAAAGTATGTTCAGCTTTACTAAAAAAAAAGATTTGCATTTTAATTTTATAACCCATATATACATTATTTATATTTACAACTAAAATGCAGTTGGGTTAATAGTTAGTCCACACGTCTGCCACATCGAGAAAAGTTAAAATGGAACATTAGATCCTACATACATGTATATTAGAAGCAATTTTGGAATGTGAATATATAGCGAGTGCTCAATTTTATAGTAATATTATACCATATAGATCCATAGAAATTACATGGCGACTCGCAAATGTTACATAATGAAAATTAAGCTTCGTTTTCATGTACCTAAACATACATATGTACTTAAATATTTTATTCATACATGAAAATAATGATGTAAATTATACACTTGTAAACAATGATGAACAGTCTATATCAAAATATTTGAATAATCATAGTTAATAACACAAAAAACAAATTTAAGGAAGAAGCTACTTGAACTTCCATTAAAAACGTAAAGTAGGTAAGAAAGGAAATAAAACGATTTTCAGTAACTCCTCAGTGAGTAGTAGTAAATATTCAGACAAATTAAATTCAAATCGGCAATTTAAATTTGAATATAAGGTACCGCAAGCACTACCATTCATCATCACAACGCAATTGTTTTATATGTAATTTACATTAATTTACATTACATTTATTATGTAATTTACTTCACTGTTAACATGTGTATAACTTATTTCAGTACTGTCTAACTGAGAGCTCGCGAGCTCCATAGTGACTTTTCCCTCACGGAGAGTAACCCCCTCCATACCTACTTTTACCTGTTGTATTGAACACTACATAGACCTGCTTATATGTGTAAGCAGTTTCGGCCAGTTCCTACATAGAGGTAGTGGGGGAACGCTGTTTGCGAGTTACTAGCGCGAGGGAAGTAAGTTAGAGGTAGTTATGGCTTATGTATGACAAAAATATACATGGAAACATGCATATAAATATATCAATGTTTAAAAAGGATTGCAGATCTGAAATTAACCCTTTGCACTCCGCTGTCCCCTCTCAGGGGACATTAAAGTTTATTAGTGATTACGGGGAATTAAGTTATTTCAGCGCAACTTTTTGAGACATGCATGTTTCCCTGAAGTTTTCTCTTGAAATGGCACAAGAAATCAAATCAAAATATAGTAAAATTACTGAGATATATAAAAAAAATATCAGCGGGTTTTGTGTCAGAAGAGAACGCGAGAAGCGTGCTCACGACGGTCCGAGCACTTCTCGGCGTCACTTGAAAAGGGCGATAAGAAGAGTTCATAGAAGAAAGGTCGATATGCGTGCATACCTCGCACTGTATAGTGAGATTTATAAATATAAATAAACAAATTTAAAACTGGAGGAAAAGATTTTCAAAGCAGAGCTCAATCTGGTTTGAAGCGTCGAACGGTATAGATAGTTTTCAACCCATGTATTTATTCATTTTTTTTTATTAGAACAATAGCAAAGCGTTCAAACACGAATGAGTCTCATGACACAAGTAGTAGTGAAGATGAGCTCCAGATAGATATTTATACAGATGTGTTAGAAAGACTAAATGTAGAAGAAAACAATAGCAGTGATAGTGATATCGTCCAACCAACAAGGCGACGAAGAGATCGCATAGATAGCGATAGCGATGAAAGTGATACGGAAGAACGGTTTATCATACTGCACAAAATTATAAAAAATAAAATATTGATTTTTTTGCAAATATACATTCCTTGATGTCAACCAATTCATATAAGTCCAATATCATTATAATACGTTACTTGGTTCCAAAATTATACTAAATAATACGAGGGTCCGTAAATGCACGTTTCTGCCACAAAGTAGCGTCGAGTAGTTGGTAGCCAACGTCCAGAATGGTTCGGAATGCAAAGGGTTAACATAAAAAAATACTATTAAAATCACCCATTAAACTTTGTGTGACAGAAATTATATTCACCGGTATTATTTACAGAACTTAATTAACATGTTAGACTGCTACAATGTTTTGAGAAAATAGAAACAATAAAGAATAATATAATTAAATTAGATACATAGAAATAAATTATAACAGATATACAGCCATATGTAAATCTCGTTAAACGAATCAGGAACAGTGTATAAAAAATGAGGTACAGTTTAGAGTCATTACAAAATACACGTATGTAGATAATATATGAGCACTGCATTAAAATAAAATAAATTAAAAATTGGAGGATGAGAGTGCTTAAGTATTGAGAAAAGCAAGTTTAAAAATTCACTATGTACTCATGCAATTGCGGTTAATATATGATTTTCCGTGTGATATACAATGGCTATTCAGTTTATAAACAATACCTATATGATATTTAACAATGAGAGTGACTAAATAAAAAAAAATTAAAAAAGATCTTTTATCAACAATATTTTATTATCAATCACAAAACTATATTTTAAAAGACTTTTTGCATATTTTCGTTTCACTTTGATTACGAACATGCTGGTTAGGATAGAGTTTCTTCCAATGACGATAAGTTTATTCAAATATTGTCGGTGAAATATTTTTTTGCTTTTTCTTGAATTTAGTAATTCTTAAATATTATGTGTCAGTATTGTTTACAAAGGAAATAGGTGTTGTATATTATTCGGAAGAATAAGTTAATCAGTTAACTGCGCCCGACGAGTACAAACATCATCTTAAAACGCAAAATAGAACTTACTTTTTAAAACGCAAAATAGAACTTCTTCGTCTTCCTTTAGTTTTTCCTTAGAATATATTCTAAATGCATTTCCTTTGCGTTTGACGAGTATATATGTAAGTACTTATTTCATTGTTTGAATTTATTGCGCGCACACAAAATGGGAGATTTTTAAAATTAAATGCCGTAGTTAACAGGTTAATCGTAACTGCATGCGTGAATGATGAAATTTTAAATTCGATTTTCTCGAAACTTAAAGGGGAATACCGCACAGAGACGTCCTAAATATAAGTAAACTTTAAGATTTTTTTGTTAATAACTATTAAGTGAAAACTTCTGATTTTTTCTGGGTATATAACTGTAATCTTCTGCTTTATATTTATTAGCTAACTAATTTATTCTAAGAGTTAATTTTTTCAAAACCAAATGTTACAAAATGGCGCAGTTATTCGCTAGCTTTGGATCTTTTTTTTATAAAACATCCATTTAATTGTAACGCGTATTAAAAAATACAATGTTTCTTATAAAAGTAATATAAAAACGTCTGTTGAAATAATAATGTATGTATCAAGTTAGTGGGAAAATGTTTTCGTATTTTAATATTGACATGACCATTACCATTTTTAAGTATTATTAATTTACTTAATTATGTAGTAATATTATCTTCTTTGCTATTAATAATATTCTTCCACGTACCTATTAACTGAATACTTTCAATTTTAGTTAGAAATTTATGGGTTTGGAGTTAATGAATTCGATAAAGCAGATTTACACTTTTTAAATGTTACATAATTTTTTTTTATATAACTTTTTAGTAGTTGGAGTAAACAATAGTCCGAGAGAGCAATGTTAATGGAGCATGGAGGATGAATAAGAATTTCTCAAACAAATGTATTTAATTTTCGTTTTGTTTATAAGGCAACATAAACTTGTCTTGTATTATTCTGGTGGTAGATTATGCTCTTCTAATTTTTACGGGCTGATCTTTATGTTTGTAATGCTTCCAGTAATCGATCTAATTATTTTAAGGTTTAAAACGTTGATATTATCTTTCTGAACAGACCGAAATTTATCATGTAATATCCCAACGACATTTCTTGAATCGATTTTGGCATGTGCGTTCTGTTATTATACCGCTATTAAATGTTTCGTTTAAGGAAAATCGCCATTATCTGTATACGAGCAGGAAACGAAGAAACCTTTTCACTAAACCAATACATCAGACGTACATCATTTGTACATTACACGTAAAATTTATATGTATGTCTAAAATTAACAATATAATGAAGTCTATAAATATATTCAATAAATAATTTACTAGAACCATTCGTTGCGAGTATGACCTGTGTTTGGACTTAAGATTGTTTTTAACATTTTATTAAGTTTCAAAAGTTTCCTTTATTCTATAGGAAAGAATACAATTAGGAATGAAACGTGTATTAACGTCAACGTATTTTAAATAAATCAAAGACGAATAATGACAAGTATTTTTTTAGTTTTGATGCAAACAAATTTCTTTAATTTCTTGGTACCCATAATGTTAGTTTTTGGTGATTTTGAAAAACCCGCGGACTTAGCCAACATTTATAATCTTATTTATCAAATTCTACATTTAATTGATATTTTAAATTCTAAGTTTAATAAACTGGTAGTAATTCTCAGGTTCAATTTTGGGCTTGTGCATACAACATCGTATGCGTTCATCGTACAAATTAAGATGCATATTTGTATATTATTTTAAAAAGTGTCTTTTGGTAAAATCTCTCACTCAATCAGTATAATTATAATTATTTTTTCAAGCCATAATTTTGTATAAAATTAAGTAACTCGTAACTTTTTTCTGGACCACCATAAGAACTTTAT